TCTCGAGCCTGTGGCCTCACGCAGTCCTCTTGCCTCTGCCTCCCAAAGTGCTGGGATTACAGGTGTCAGCCACCGCACCCGACTGAATTTGATTTTTATTTATTTGAGTCAGCTTTTTTTTTGGTAGGTTATCGTTACTAGCTGTGATCCTAATAGTATTGTATATCTTTATTGTCATCTATAAATTGGGATGTCTATCTTTTGGGGCTGCACAGATTGAATGATACTCTATAATAAAGTCCCTGTCACTTACTAAGCTCTCAGCAAATGTTAGTGCCCCTTCCACAAAGTCACTTTTATGGTTTACAGATATGTGGTGAAAGATCAGTTTTTTGTTTAGATTCCCAATCTGTCATGCTCTGATACTTTTATAAAATACAGTAAAAGTGAATTACTAGAAAAATTAAAGTACAGAAAGTGCTACGTCCCAACTTTTTATTATTAGATTTGACAGATTAAAAATGACTCTGTTAAATTTCTAAACAATAACCTACCAAGTTTCTGCACTCATCTCCTGGGGATTGGATCGCAAGCATTCAAAGACTTGCCTGCCCATTCTGACTAGCCGGGTTCAGCCGGCGTGTCCATTATTTGGAGAAAACCAGCCTAGGAAGCTGGTTTTTCCTGGCATGAAAGGCACCCAGCCAAGAGCTGCGGGGAGTTCTGGGCCGGGCAGGTGGGTGGCGAGGCTGGCGGGATGACCCGATGGCGCGGTGGTCCGATAGGCCCGGCTGCGGATCAGGCCACGTGCCCTCGAGCTGTGCCAGCAAGCCGAACCTCCCACCGGGGCAAAGGGGCGGGGGCCTGCTCCGGAGAGCGGAGTCTGGGGCGGGGCCGACGTGCAGAGGGGCGTGTTTCCCTGCCTAGGAGCTCAAATCCCTAACGCTGACTTTACAGATGCAAAGCAGATTAGTGCGGGAGAGCGACTTGCCCAGGGGCTCACAGCTCAGGACCCGTGCACTCTCTGCTGGGCAGCTCACCCCTCCTCCTAAATGAGATTTGGAAATGAAGAAGATTGCCTTGTATTCCTGGGCTGACTTAAATTTTGTTAACTAGGTAATGTATTCACATGGTACAAGGTACCAAAAAGTAAAAAGTGAAACGCCTCCCTCCAGTCTCCGCCCCTGTTCTCCATCAGCCAGCCAGGTCATTGGCGTGTGTGTGTGTGTGTGTGTGTGTGTGTGTGTGTGTGTGTGTGTATACACCTATCACATATCTGTATGTATGAACATGCAGTGGCATAGCACATGCCTTCTTGTGCACTTTGCACTCTTCTCAGTTCATTGCAGAGTTCATTCCACAACAGTACTTACAGAACGCCCTCATTCCTTCTTGTGTCCATGTGGTATCCCATTTTATGACTGTACCATGCTTTACTTAATCAGCCTCCTGTTGATGGACATAAAGGTGACCTCTACTTTTTTGCTAGTACAAATAATGCTACAGGATTATCTAGTATAGTGTACAGCGGTCCCCGACGTTTTAGGCATAAGGGACTGGTTTTGTGGAAGATTTTTTTTTTTTTTTGAGTTGGAGTCTCACTCTGTCACCCAGACTGGAGTGCAGTGGCTGCTCCCGGCCACCGCAACCTCGACCTGCTGGGCTCCGGGGATCCTTCCCCCTCAGCCTTCCAAAGTAGCTGGAATCACAGGCGTGTGCTACCACGCCCGGCTAATTTTTGAATTATTGTAGAGATGAGGTCTTGCCAAGTTGCCCAGGCTGGTCTTGAACCCATGAGCTCAGACAATCCTCTCACCTCGGCCTCTCAAAGTGCTAGGATTATAGGTGTGAGCCACCTCGCCCAGCCTATTTCTATTATTATTACATTGTAATATGTAATGAAATAATTATACAACTCACCATAATGCAGACTCAATGGAAACCATGAGCTTGTTTTCCCACAGCTAGAGTATCCCATCTGGGAGTGATGGGAGACAGTGACACCCGAAGTGTGTTGCTTATGTCCAGTCTACTCTGTAATCTCATTTTGGTTGCTGTCACTGCAGAAAACTCTGCTTCACAAAGGTAGGATGTTGGAAATGGAAGCAGGCTTTTCAGTGCTGATCTGACAGGAGGGGGAGCTCAGGCAGTAATGCGAGCGATTGGGATGTAGCTGTAAATACAAATGAAGCTTTGCTTGCTCACCCACCACTCACCTTCTGCTGCGTGGCCTGGTTCCTAATGGTCCATGGATGGACGGTACCGGTTGGGGACTCCTAATCTAGTACATAGGTCATTTAACATGTGTGCAAGGACATCTGTGAGAGTGGAATTGCCAGGTCAATCAGGATGTACAAAAATAATTTTGATATATGTTGCCAAATTGTCTTGGAGGTGCTACCAACCGTTTGCCAGCAAGGGATAATGGCTTGAGCCAGGTCCTTTTTTGATCATTTCCTCAAAATGTTAATTTTAAAAATCATGAGGTAAACTGGGCTCGGTGGCCCAGCCTGTAATTCCACGCCTTTGGGAGGCTGAGGTGAGTGGATTGCCTGAGCCCGTGGGTTTGAGACCCGCCTGGGCAACTTGTGAGACATCATCTCTACAATAAATAAAAATTAGCCGGGCGTGGTAGCGCACGCCTGTAATTCCAGCTACTTGGAAGGCTGAGGCAGAAGGATCACTGGGGCCCAGCAGATCGAGGCTGCAGTGGCCGGGAACGGCCACTGCACTCCAGTCTGGGTGACAGAGTGGGACTCCAACTCAAAAAAAAAAAAAATCATGAGGTAGGTCACAAAGGATCCTCTAACAGGTGTCCTCAGAGCAAAAACCTCATGTGACTGTGTTCCTAGAGGCCTATTCTCTGTGGAGAATCCCCCCTTAGGAAGGGAGATTCTTCTTCAAAGCCATGCAGTTTGGGGCTAGTGGCTTTGAGGTGTGAGCAAGCTCACTCCTGAAAGTGAGGAGAGAGCGACAGCTCCCTGGTAGGTCTGAGAACACTGTCCTGGCAGCAGAAGGAGCACTTTCTGTGGAAAGATGGCACCCAGCAGGCATGTCTAGAGATTGGCCCTTAATTCCCTGAGACTGATGGCTTCCTTGCGGGGTAGGTGAGAGGAGTCCCTTCACTTGGCAGGTATTTATTGGGCGTCTGTTTTGAATGGTGGGCCTACTTCTTGCCCTGGTTGCTGGGAGAGGCAGTGAGCACAGCCACGGTGGCCCATGGTGAGACCACCCTTGACCGCAGGCCCTGCATACCAGACCTGGTTCCCATGCTTCAGTCACCTCTGATGAAGTAGTAGGAATACGGTGGTCAAGAGACTGGAGTTTTCGTTGTGGTAGGGGAGGCGGCAGATTAAAACCACCTGCTTGCTGGGTGTGGTGGCTCATGCCTGTAATCCCAGCACTTTGGGAGGCAGAGGTGTGAGGATTGCCTGAGCCCAACTTGACCTCAGCTCAACAATAAGTCGAAAATTTGGCCAGGGCATGGTGCTGCATTCTTGTGATTGATTCCAGCTACTTAGAAAGCTGAGATGGAAGGATTGCCTGAGCCCAGCAGGTCGAAGCTGCGGTGGCCGAGAGCATGCCACTGCCCTCCAGCCTGGGTGACAGTGAGACTCAAAAAAAATAAAAGAAAACAAAAACACCTGCTGGTGATGAGGGTGGCAGATGAACTGCCCTAGGTGAGAAGTCCAGAGAGTACAGGTACTAGACGTGCTTGAGGATTTGTCTTGGCTCACAGGTAGGTGGGTTCCCACCTTAACTCTGCCTTGGCTACTAGGTTATCCCTGGGTAACATTCAAATAGCTTAAAAATGGAGAGAGCCAATTACGGTGATGCAGAAATTAGGAGTGTGTGAACGTGCATTATGAAGCCACCTATTTTTCCTCTTTGTCTTTTCTTCTTGGTTTAAAAACTTACTACCCACAGCCGGGAATAGTTGTAACTTGGTTCTTCGTTTTAAATTCTGAAATTCTGGGAATTTGTCTTCAAGTCCCAAGAACTCTGCCTCCTAGCCATTAAACTATAGCAGAAAATAAACCCAAAGGGGCAATTTTTACTCTGAATTCCATGTGGTAGAATGCCCATGATTTTTCTTTTTCTTTTCTTTTTTTTGTTTTTTTGTGGTTTTTTGGAGTTGGAGTCTCACTCTGTCACCCAGGCTGGAGGGCAGTGGCATACTCCCGGCCACTGCAACCTCGATCTGCTGGGCTCAGGTGATCCTTCTGCCTCAGCTTTCCAAGTAGCTGGAAGTACAGGCACGCGCCACCATGCCTGGCTAATTTTTGACTAATTGTAGAGATGAGGTCTCGCCAAGTTGCCCAGGCTGGTCTTGAACCGATAGGCTCAGGCAATCCTCTCACCACGACCTCCCAAAGTGCTGGGATTATAGGCGTGAGCCTTCATGCCTTGCCTTTTTTTTTTTTAGTTGGGTCTCACTGTGTTGTCCAGGCTGGAGAGCAGTGGCATCATCAAAGCTCACTGTAGCCTTGACCTCCTGGAGTCTGATCCTCCCACCTCAGCCTGCCCAGTACCTGAGACTATACGCACATGCTGCCACACCCAGCGAATTATTTATTTTTTTACTTTTATTTTTTTGAGTTGGAGTCTCACTCTGTCACCCAGGCTGGAGTGCAGTGGCACGCTCACAGCCACCGCAGCCTCGACCTGCTTGGGCTTAGGTGACCCTTCCACCTCAGCCTTCCATGTAGCTGGAACTATAGGCGTATGCCACCATGCCTGGCTAATTTCTTGATTTATTGTAGAGACAAGATTTCGCTATGTTGCCCAAGCTGGTCTTGAACTCCTGGGCTCAAGCAATCCTCCCACCTTGGCCTCCCAAAGTGCTGGGATTACAGGCAAGCCACCAAGCCCAGCCCCATGTTTTTTCTTTAAAGGTTGTTAACATTTATGAATTAGTGCTTCTTTATTTCCTTGGACCTAAGCCATTCGTGTGCTGGGTAGGGGCGGTTGGGGGTCCAAGGGGTCTGTGCCACTCTACATCTGCCTCATTTCAGATCACTGCCCCCATGTACCCACTCTGATCCGCGCCTTATTTTTCAGATGACTTTGGGAAATTGCTGCTGGCCGAGGCCCTCCTGGAACAATGTTTGAAGGCAAACCACTCCAAAATAAAAGACTCCATCCCTCTGCTGGAGAAGCATGAGCCCAAGCTGAATGAAGCCAAAAATTACCTGAGCGGTATCCTTAACAATGGGAAGCTGTCGGTGAGTGGTGCCCACAAGCTTGGGGCCTCCTCTCCTCTCTTGCCTCCCGTCTGGGGTCCAGTCCTCCCAGGGCCATCTGGTCACCTGGGCAACACATCTGTCTTGCAAGTTGGCCTTGCCCTTACAGGTGTGAGCTACATGTGACTCTCAAGCACTTGAAATGCAACTAACCCATCTTGAGATGTGCTGTAAGATAAAACACGCCAGGCACGAAGTCTCAAGCCTGTAATCCCGGCATTTTGGGAGGCCGAGGCGAGAGGATTGCCTGAGCTCAGGGGTTCAAGACCAGCAGGGGCAACATGGTGAGACTTTATCTCTACAATAAATCAAAAAATTTGCAGGGTATGATGGCACATGCCTGTAGTTCCAGCTACCTAGAAGGCTGAGACTGAAAGATCACCTGAGCCCAGCAGATCAAGGCTGCAGTGGCCGTGAGCATGCTGCCAAACTCCAACCTGAGCAACAGAGACTCCAACTAAAAAAAAAAAAAAGATAAAGCAGACACTGGATTTTGAAGATGTACAAAATGAAGGATATAAAAAAGCATTAACTTTTTATGTTGATTAAATGTTCAAAAGGCATTATTTTGGACATAGAGTATTGAGTTAAAGAAAGCATTTTTATTAAAATTAATTTCACCTGTATTTACCATTTTAATGTGACTAAAAAACCTTGTGCTGGGTGCAGTGACTCAAGCCTGTAATCCCAGCACATTGGGAGGCAGAGATGAGAGGATTGTTTGAGACCAACCTGGACAACATGGTGAGACCTCATTTCTACAATAAATCAAAAAATTAGCCGGGCATGATGTCATGGGCCTGTGGTTCCAGCTACTTAGAAGGCTGAGATGGAAGGATCATCTGAGCCCAGCAGGTCAAGGCCTCGGTGGCCAAAAGCATACCACTGCACTTTAGCCTGGGTGACCAAAAAAAAAAAAACTTGCTAGAACTTTTTTTTTCCCCATGGCCCCCGCCTGAGGCCCGCCGCCCAGCTACTGCCATCTTCCAGCGTAGAACATTTTAAATTACACAAGTGGCTCACATTTGTGGGCTAAGTTGTGCTTCTATTGGACAGTTTGGTTGACCCTAATGTGTGCCTGGCTCTTTGGGCTTCTTGCACCGGGGTGGGGTTAGGAGGTTTCAGGGAAATAAGATCTCAGTGAGCCTTAGATCTAACTGGAAGCAGGCAGACATGTAGAGTTGACTAAGGACAGAATAGCCCTATAACAGGGTAAGAGTCAGTTTTAAGTCTTTGTGCATTTATTGACCACCTACTGTATGCAAGACACTGAGGGAAAGTAGAGTGGGGAGCACAGTCACAACTTTCTCTAGATTTTTGCTGCTCATGTGGGCATCCTTGGGAGGCTGGTTAGAAGTGCAAAGTGTGAGTCAGAATCTGCGTTTCAAGAGTATCTCTGGTGATTCATGTGTGCATCAAAGTTTGAGGATGTGCTAGGTAGATTATGATGTATTCTGAGCTATAATAAGGGCATGAGTATGTCATTAGAAACCCAAAGAGGGAGTAATTTTTCTTTTTTTGGGGGAGTTGGAGTCATACTCTGTCACCCTGACTGGAGTGCAGTGGCATGCTCGTGGCCACCACGGCCTCAACCTGCTGGGCTCAGGAGATCCCTCTGCCTCAGCCTTCCAAGTAGCTGGAAAAACAGGCACACGCTACTGAACCCGACTAATTTTTTGATTTATTGTAGAAACGAGGTCTTGCCAAGTTGTCCTAGCTGGTCTTGAACCCCTGAGCTCAGGCAGTCCTCTCGCCTCAGCCTCCCAAAGTGCTGGGATTACAGGCTTGAGCCACCACACCCAGCCGGGAGGGAATTTTCAAGAGGTGAGGTATTCCAGAGTAAGGTAGTCGCTCACTTGACCATCTATTCTGATGTACCACGTGGCAAAGCATGACGTTGTGCACTCTGAGGGCAATCGAGATGAATCCAGCATGGACCCTGCCCTCAAGGAAGTCACAGGTCCATGGGGAAGATAAGTCCTATCAGCAGATACATAGCTTTATCCACAGTGGACCATGACACCCGCTGTAGGAGTGCTCTACACGAGGAGGCAAGTCCTGGGGACACTCCTTGGGGAGGGCGAGAAGCAAAGGACAGAGTCTGGATGATGGCAGTGCTAGAGTTGGCCCCTTCTGGGGACTGGATCTGACTGGGACATAGAGGTAGGGCTGGACATTTCAGCCTAAGGAAGCAGTGTGTCATCTTAGGGTTCCTCTTATATAGAATCTCATTGGCCGGGAACAGTGGCTCATGCCTATAATCCCAGCACTTTGAGAGACCAAGGTAAGAGGATTGCCTGAGCCTACGGGTTCGAGACCAACCTAGGCAACTTGGTGAGACTTCATCGCTACAATAAATTAAAAAAAAAAAAAATTAGCTGGGTGTGGTGACATGTGCCTGTAGTTCCGGCTATTTGGAAAACTGAGGTGGAAGGATGGTCTAAACCCAGCAGGTCGAGGCTGCAGTGGCTGTGAGCATTCCACTGCACTCCAGGCTGGGCAACAGAGTGAGACACTGACTCAAATAAAATAAAATAAAAATAATGATAATAATAATAATACATTAGCATCCAGGAGCAGTGACTCACACCTGTGGTCCCAGCACTTTGGGAGGCCAAGTTGGGAGAATTGCTTGAGCCCAGGAGTTTGAGACCAGCTTGGGCAGCATAGCAAGACCTCATAGCTACAAAAAAATTGAAAAAAAATTAGCTGGGCATGGTGGCACATGCCTATAGTTCTAGCTACTTGGAAGACTAAGGTGGAAGAATCACCTGAGTCCAGCAGGTTGAGGCTGCGGTGGCCAGGAACATGCCACTGCACTCCAGCCTGGGTAACAGAGTGAGACTCCAACTCAAAAAAGAAAAAAAAAAGAATCTCTTTAAAGTCAGTCAATGTAGCAGGAACAGAAGGAAACAGTGGGCAGTTAGGTTGTGAAGGTACTTTGGGGCCAGAGAATGGGTAGAACATCAGACCAAGGAGCGCTGGGCTTATTCTGTAAGAGAAAGGAAGAGGGAAATGCACTAGAAATTTAAAGTTACTGCTTTTAGGACTGGGTGTAGTAGCTCAGGGCTGTAATCTCAACACTTTTGTTTTTGAGAGCACCCTGGGCAAAATAGTGAGACTTTATCTTTATAAAAAATAAAAAAAATTAGCTAGGCATGGTGGTGCACACCTGTAGTCCCAGCTACTCAGGAGGCTGAGACAGGAGGATCACTTGAGGTCAGGAGGTTGAGGCTACAGTGAGCTGGGGTTGCACCACTCCATTGCAGCCTGGGTGACAGAATGAGACCCCATCTCAAAAACTTTTAAAAAAATTGAATTTTAAAAAATACAATGTAGGTTTATGATAAGTCAATCAACAAACAAGCAAGTAATTTGAATAATAAATAAAAGTCCTTGATTGCCACCCTCACCCCAGGCCTACTCCCATCTTCAGAGTTGAGCTCTGGTTACTATTTGCCTCCCTTTGTGTATTTTCTTTCTTTCTTTTTTTTTTTTTTGAGTTGGAGTCTCACTCTGTCACCCAGACTGGAGTGCAGTGGCCACTCCCGGCCACCGCAACCTCGACCTGCTGGGCTCCGGAGATCCTTCCGCCTCAGCCTTCCAAGTAGCTGGAACTACAGGCGTGTGCTACCACGCCTGGCTGATTTTTTGATTTATTGTAGAGATGAGGTCTCGCCAAGTTGCCCAGGCGAGTCTCGAACCCACGGGCTCAGGCAATCCACTCACCTCAGCCTCCCAAAGGTGCAGGATTACAGGCTGAGCCACCGAGCCCGGCTTCTTTGTGTATTTTCAAGCATATGTACACACAGAGAGCTTTTTATAGTCATAGAATATATATTTGACAAGTTGCTTTTGTTTACTTGAAACCTTCTCTGTGTCAGTACCGCATTCTTTTTTTTGAATCGGAGTCTCACTCTGTCTCCCAGGCTGGAGTGCAGTGGCACGCACATGACCACTGCAGCCTTGACTTGCTGGGCTCAGGTGATCCTTCTGCCTCAGCCTTTCAAGTAGCTGGAACCACAGACGTGTGCCACCATGCCCATTTTTTAATTTATTTTAGAGACAAGGTCTTGCCATGTTGTGTAGGCTGGTCTTGAACCACTGAGCTCAAACAGTCCTCTTGCCTCCACCTCCCAAAGTGCTGGGATGACAGGTGTGAGCCACCCCGCCTGGCAGTATCCCATTCTTTATATTGGCTGTTGTGGTAACTGTTGTGTCTACCAAATCCCATTTATTACATACAAGGTTTACCATGTTTTATTTTATTTTATTTTATTTTATTTTATTTTATTTTATTTATTTATTTTTTTGAGTTGGAGTCTCTGTCGCCCAGACTGGAGTGCAGTGGCACACTCCCGGCCACCGTAGCCTCAACTGCTGGGCTCCGGCAATCCTTCCGCCTCAGCCTTCCAAGTAGCCCAAACTATAGGCGTGCGCTACCACACCCAGCTAATTTTTGATTTATTGTAGAGACGAGGTCTTGCCAAGTTGCCCGGGCTGGTCTCGAACCCACAGGCTCAGGCAATCCACTCACCTTGGCCTCCCAAAGTGGCTGGGATTCCAGACTGAGCCACCGAGCCTGGCCTACCATATTTTATTAAACAAAGAGAGACAGACAGACAAAAGCACCAATAGTATGAAGGAATCCACTGTTATACAGGCCAACGTCCAAAACTTGATGTTGATCGGGCAAAATAAAATATTCAAAGTCCTTTGTGGGATCCTCTATCTCACCCCAAAGGCCAGGGTATAGTGGGGGGATCTTTCTTGTCACAGTCCTGGGTGGATTCCTGTGCATCCCCAGCAGCTCCGATGGATGAGAGGGAGGGAGAGGTGAGTGGGTCCTGAGGCCCCTCCTCGGGGTACCTTGAAACCTCTACCCTAGGTCATCTTTCAGATCATGCCCAGCTCAGTTCTGGGGAAGTTGGTGAGAACAAGCCACTGGTCGTAACCTTTGCTATCCACTGAGCTCCAGGCATGGCGGGTCCCACGGAGGCCCCACAGTAACCTTCTGCCATGGTACCCCTGTTTCTGAGACCCGAAAGCAGTGATCACTTAGCTAAGGACCACACGAGCAGATATAGGACTTGAACCCAGGACTTTTGTCTTTACATCCCAAGCTCTAGTGCTCCCTGCTGCTCCTTGGTGCTGCCTCTCAGAGTACTGGGGTGGATATAGAATAATGGCCCAGAAATGGATTAAGTTAAGGATAGTTATGGTGCTTCTGCTTTTATAGTTCTCACTGCAGTCTGGGAAGGATTTCCTCATCTCTTCTTCCTCATACCTGGGTATCTCCATGAGGTCATTCTTTCCTTTGGGTTTTTTTTTTTTTTTTTGAGTCAGTCTCACTTTGTTGCCCAGCCTGGAGTGCAGTAGCACCCTCATGGCCACCCCAGCACCAACCTGCTGGACTCAGGCGATCCTTCTGCCTCAGCCTTCCAAGTAACTCAAGCTACAGGTGCACGCTATCACGCCTGTTAATTTTTTTTGATACATTGTAGAGACGAGGTTGGTCTCGAACCCCTGGGCTCAGGCAATCCTCTTGCTTCGGCCTCTCAAAGTGCTAGGATTACAGGCTTGAGCCACCGCGTCCAGCCTTTTTTTAAAATTTGAGTTAGAGTCTCACTCTGTCATCCAGGCAGAAGTGCAGTGGCACTTCTCACCATTGGCAAGACCTCATCTCAATAAATCGAAAAATTAGCCGGGCACGGTGTCACACACCTATAGTTCCAGCTACTTGGAAGGCTGAGGTGGAAGGATCACCCGAGCCCAGCAGGTCGAGGTTACAGTGGCCATGAGTGTACCACTGCCCTCCAACCTGGGTGACAGAGTTCTGAGAGTCCAACTAAAAAAAAAAAAAAAAAATCAGCAAAACGGTACCATCCTATTATCATTGCCTCGTAAAAGAAAAAAGCAACTTAACACCGTACAGGAGGATGGCTATACTTTCGGGCTAAGAGCAGCTATTTAAATAGTATAAATTTGGCATTATGAAACATTCGCTGTGTCGTCTAATGTTCCTCCCCCACCCCCCGTGGTGGAAGCTCTGTTGTAAATTGTCCTTGGTTCTCCAAAGCCATCACTAGCCACACCCCAACTGTGTGCCGGAAATGTGGTCCTCTGAGCCTTGCTGCCCTTCTCCTGGGTGCAGTAGAAGAGGGTCATAATGATAAATACTCATATCCTGTATTTATCGTGCTCCTTTCTGAAGAAAAGTTCAAAGCTCTCTTCTGGACTTTGCCCAATTCATCATCCTGGCAGTGCTGTGCCGGATGTGAGGAGCAGGTGTGAGTATTATCTCCACTGCACCCATGAAGAAAACGCAGCCCAAGCAGGGAGGAAGAGGGCCCGCAGCTTGAGACATGAGCAGGGAACGGCAGAGCCATTGTCCAGCCTGGAGGGACTATGGGCCACATGCCTCTGGGGATGTGTCATCTGTGGTATTGACCCAGGAAGTGGACGGCTTATCTGGGGAGACTAGCCAATGCCCTTGGAAAATCCAGCTTTTAACTGGGTGTGGTGGCTCACGCCTGTAATCCCAGCACTTTGAGAGGCAGAGGCGAGAGGACTGCCTGAGTCCAGGGGTTCCAGACCAGCTTGGGAGGATCTTGTCTCTACAATAAATCAAAAAGTTAGCTGGGCGTGGTGGTGCACACCTGTGGTTCCAGCTACTTGGAAGGCTGAGATGGAAGGATTGCCTGAGCCCAGCAGGTCAAGGTGGCAGTGGCTGCGAGTGTGCCACTGCACCCCAGCCTGGACGACTAAGACTCTCACTCAAAAAAACAAAAAACAAAAACTCCAACTTTTGAGAGTACATCAGTCATCAGACAGAGCAGTCAGGTGGGCAGGGCCTGAATTGGCCCATCTGGTAGAGGCAATGTAGGAGTTCAGCTGAAGGGAGCTTCTGGTAGTCAGGGAGGCTTCCAAGAGGAGGTGGCCTCAGAGACTAGAAGAGGAACTGGTGAGGCCGAAGGGAAGGGGACCTGACTGAGCAAAGGGAAAGGAGGAATGTATCTTTACAAATATCAAGAGACTAGTGGGGAAGGGGAATTTGACTTCACAGAGCCTAGTTGTGTCATACTCCTGTTCTCTTAGTTGACTCCTGAGATGGCAGTGGATGGTGGAAGTGGCAGATGTTCCTCTTGGGCTCACAGGTGCCCGGGCTCTTTTTTTTTTTTTGAGTTGGAGTCCCACAGTAGCCCAGGCTAGAGTGCAGTGGCATGCTCATGGCCACCACAGTGTTCACCTGCTGGGCACAGGTGATCCTTCCACTTCAGCCTTCCAAGTAGCTGGAACCACAGGTGCAGGCCACCAGGCCCAGCAAATTTTTTGATTTAATGTAGAGACGAAGTCTTGCCAACTTGTCCAGGCTGGTCTCGAACCCTTGGGCTCATGCAATCCTCTTGCCTCAGCCTTCCAAAGTGTTGGAATTACAGGCGTGAGCCACCGCACTGGCCAGTCTCAGACTCTCACCTCCCTGTGGGGACTGGGCAGCACCTCCCTGCCAGTGACAGAGGCCAGAGCCATGTCTCCAGGGAGTTTTGTGGACAGCTCGATGCCTGTGTGGCAGGGGCAGTGCCCAGGGCCTTGCCCTCAAGAGGTTATGGGCCTGCTAAGTACAGGAATAGAAGCACGCAGTTGGAGCCAATGGCCTTAGGAGGTGACGGTCTCAAGGGGGCTGGGTCCATGTCCAAGACCAGACCTCTCGGGCCTGAGTGACTCAGCCCAGGGCTAGCTTAACCTCCTTCTGGCAGCCTGGTGTGCACTGTCTGCAGAAGGAGCCCAAGCTAGGATGGGATGGCCAGGGCAGGCCAGACCTCCTCAGGCCCCGATGCAGGCCTCTGTGGGGTAGAGATTGGAGTGTAAGCAGCACCTGAGAAAGGAGGGGGAAGAAAACGGGTTTGAATTCAAGCACTTTGGCCTTCTTGCCTCTGCACCTGGACCCACTTCTGATTGGACGAGGTTCTGCCTTTGAACCCACTTTTTTTTTTGGCTGCAGAGTCTTACTCTGTCACCCAGGCTGGAGGGCAGTGGCATGCTCCCGGCCACCACAGCCTCGACCGGCTGGGCTCAGGCGATCCTTCTGCCTCAGCCTTCCAAGTAGCAGGAACTAGAGGTACATGCCATCATGCCCGACTAATTTTTCTTGATTTGTTGTGGAGATGAGATTTCTCCAAGTTGCCCAGGTTGGTCTCGAGCCCATGGGCTTAGCAATCCTCTCATCTCAGTCTTCCAAAGTGCCGGGATTATAAGAGTGAACCACCGTGCCCGACCTTGGACCCACTTCTAATTGGATGAGGATGGTGACCCCACAGGCTCCTCCTCTTCTTTTGTATCCTACACTGCTGAGGTGGCTTTTCCTCCCCCACGAAGGTCTCACCGCTGTGGGTGGAGGCAAGAGCTTTGGGACCCTCACAGGCTCTTATACCTAATTATGTATTTGCATATATGTGTATAAAAGCAGACCCCCAAATGGTAAGCTTCAGGCTCCACAAAACTCGGCTCAGCCCCTGACTCCCCACTTGAACTCAGAGGAAGGGCCTGAACCCCTGAGTGCCCAGGCTGGGCTTCCACCTTTGGGGGCTTTGGGAGAGAAAGACAAGCAGGCTTTCTGGAGTCTCACTGAGTATACTAACACACACATGAAACAGGGACTCATAGAAAGAGCTTCATTGAGAGCCACAATGTAGGCGACGGACTGCAGGTGTGGAGAGGAGGGAGCTGTGTGCTTGCATGTCAGGGTAGGCTTCCTGGAGGAGTAGGGGAGTTCTGAGCAGGGTCTTAGGCAGATCATGGTTCATGGTTTGGTGGGGGTCTTCATCCCAGGGTGCCTGGTGGGGCAGGGGACAAGGCTTGGGGCAGGAACCTCCTAACGTGTCCTTGTCCTTTTAGCCCCAATATATGCGCGAGGCCATGTTGATCCTGGGAAAGCTGCATTATGTGGAAGGTTCGTACCGAGACGCCATCAGCATGTATGCACGGGCCGGGATTGATGATATGTCCCTGGAGAACAAGCCCCTTTATCAGATGCGGCTGCTGTCGGAGGCGTTCGTCATCAAAGGTAGCTGTGGGTGCCGGCCTGGGCTCCCTACCACCTGCATAGCACGATGCACTCTGGCCCCCAGGGTCCTGTGGGGTTGGGTCCAGAGATGCTATGCCCCTGCTAGTGCCCAGCCACACCAGTGGTGACCAGCCAAGCTGACAGCAGCCTGGTGCCCAGGCAAGGATGCCAGAAGACTCGGGCTCTTGCCCTGGGTCTGGCGACAGTGATTACCTCACTATGTGCCCTTGAGCAATCACCTCTTCACCTTCCTTGGCCTCAGTTTATTTGTCTGTAAGACAAGGTTGTCGTACCTGCCTTCCCAGGGTTACCGTGACCAAGAGGCATCAGCTAAGATGTGTGACCAGGTTGAGAAAGACTGAAAAAAATGGCCTCTCAAAGGGAGGCTGGCTGTGCTGCCTGGCATTGGCCACGGGTCAGGTGTTGGATGCTGTGGAGGAGTCTGTCACTTCTCAGGCGTCTGTTGGGCACCTGCTGTGAGTGGCCCGGGGGCGGGTGCTGAGACCCAGTGATGGGCAGGTCAGAACTAGTTCCTGCCCTAGAGGAGATCACAGCCTTCCCAGGTCTCTGGATGGGACTCAGGGACATGGGGTCAGGGATGTAGGTGTGCCATGAGGGGGACTCTGGACAGCCCACTTGGGAAAATCATGTCATTTAACTGAACCCTGATTGTGTTAAGTGTTAGTAAAAGTCATCCGACCCCAAACTTTGTGCTTCAGGCTCCATCATCCCTGGGTCCCTGGCCGCAGGAGCCCCCCTGCCCAGCCTGCTGCCTTCATTCTTGGATGTTTGATTATCTCCCTGTTCTAGCACAAACCAGTCTCCAGAGAAAAGACTAGAAAATTCCCATGGGGATTTGGTGCTAGCATTAGTAGAGTATGTGTCACCCTATTTTCTATTATAGATGGGGACATTATCTCCATCTTACATATGGGGAAACTGAGGCCCAGAAAGGATAGGTACTTTGCCCAAAGTTACCCAGATTCATGGTGGCACCAAGACTAGAAGCTCCATTCTCTGATGTTGGCCTTGGACTATGGGTCTCCCCCCTTACACCCCACAACACACACGCGCACTGGGTCCCGGTAGGTGTGACTGTGACGTCTGTGGAAGGCATACCCCCCTTGACTCTGGCTGGTGGGACTTCTTGAGGGCTGTTTATCCACCCTTGGATCCTTGGTCCCCGTTGAGTCCATGTCATCCCAGCAAACCTGGCGAGCTTGTCACGCTGGGCAGACCCAGCGCTACCTTGCGGGAAGGCAGGGGTCCATCTGGGGTGGCCCAGTCTGTGGGAGGGGAGGGGTTCTTTGTGCCTCCAACACAGGCCTCTCTTGTGGATGCTCTACGTTTGGCGTTTGGGTCTCTTGGGTCTCCGGGAAACCATTTCTGCCATGGACGTCCTCAACCGAACACTCTTCCTTGGGTTTCCTTTCAGTCCTTTCTCCTATAAACCTGGCTCAGTACATATTGCTCCCTGTCTCCTGCCTCTCCTCTCTCCAGCATGCCTCCAGCTTCTTGGGGGATCACAGTCCCGGTGGTCAGAGGTCCTGCAGGGGAGGTAAGGAGCCGGGCGCGCCGGCGCGGGCTGCTCGGTCGCGGGCTGTGCTGCTCTCCTTCTCCCCGCGACTGCACGCGGCTCCCCTTGCCTGCCTCCTCTCTGCCTGTCCCCCCTGTCCTGTTGCAGTGACTCCGCCTGCTGCTTGGCATGCTGAGGTTCGCCTGACACTGTGTGTGCTCGAGACCATGCACGTGGCCGCCGGGGTGTGCGTGATGTTGGCTTTCCTGGGTTTGGGGAATCCGGGTGGGTCTCTTGAATAGAAGCCATACCCAAAGGGGGGTGAGGACATTGGTCATCAGTCCTGATTCTTCTGTGAGCATGAGGGTGGTTGTGGCAAGGGCCAGAGTTCACAAAACAATGATGTTTCTAAAGCCCCCCTCCGTGCCAGGGGCAGGCCCTTGTGGAATCTCCCCAGTAACCTTCCCAATCCGTGTTCTCCTCATTCCATGTCACCGACGAGGAGTTAAGGTTGGAAGAAGTTAGATGACTCCTGCGAGGACTCACAGGAAGTGGCAGAGCTGGGACTTGAACCCAGAGCACGTAAACACCCTGTGATGTTGCGACTCAGAATTTTAGGCCGAAAGGAATCGGACATGGTCTAGGCCAAACCCTCATGTTACAGTTGAAACAGGCCGACTGAAGTGAAGCAACTCACCCAGGACATTCAGTTAGCCCCTGTTTGAACTGGAATCCCCTGTCCCCAGACACCCTCTCAACCTCGGCCTCTGACCCTGGCTGCCTGAAGGAGCCTGACTGACTTGCCCCAGCACTCCTAGGCGGGCTGTCACATCACAACTTTCTTGACCATTTTGCTTTGGATTCTGCTCTGTGGCTCCATCTGGGACCATCTGGAGGGATGGAGAATTTGGGTCTCAGACACACCTGACTAGAGGAAGGAGGACAGGGTCCGTGTGTCTTGGAGGAACCTGAGCTGGCCAGGCTGGGAGGCTCCGTGGGACCCTTGGGGTGGGCATCTCCAACATGAAGCTGCTGTTCTCGTTAGGGGAGTCAGGAGCAGGTTCTGGGTCTCTACACCCTCCCCTCAAAAAACATAAAAACACACTCCGCTCACCCTTGCTCCCCTTCAGAACAGAGGGACATGGCAGTGTGACACTCTGAGGCATCACCCACAAGGAAGCCACCTTCCTCTGAAGTGGGAAGTAATATGCATCTGTGTGTTGGATTCAGAGATGCTTTCTTGACCAGGTGTGCAGTAGCTTGCACCTATAATCCCAGGACTTTGGGAGGCCTAGGCGTGAGGATTGCTTGAGCCCAGGAGTTGAAGACCAGCCTGGGCAACATAAGGAAACCTTATCTTTACAAAAAAAAAAAAATCAACAAATTAGCTGGGAGTGCTTACCTATAGTCCCAGTTTTTCAGGAGGCTGAAGTGGAGGGATTGCCTGAACCCCTGAGGTAGAGGCTGCGGTGAATCGTGATTGTGCACTCCAGCCTGGGCAACAGAGTGAGACCCTGACTCAAAAAACAGACAGACAGCTAGGTGCAGTGGCTCATGCCTATAATCCCAGCACTTTGGGAGGCTGAGGTGAGAGGATTGCCTGAGCCCAAGGGTTTGGGACCAGCCTGAGCAACTTGGGGAGACCTCATCTCTACGATAAATTAAAAAGGAAATTAGCCAGGTGTGGTGGTGCACACCTGTCATCCAGCTACTTGGAAGCCTGAGGTAGAAGGATCACCAGAGGCCCAGCAGTTGATCAAGGCTGCAGTGGTCGTGAGTGTGCCACTGCACTCCAGCCTGGGCGACAGAGTGAGACTCTGACTCAAAAAACTAAAAAGCAAAAAAACAATCTGGAATGCTTTGGTTTTGAGGCCCTTCTCGGAAGTCTTGTCCACAGCGCTGCCCACTTGTAACACCCTTGGTGAGCCCTGTGCACTGACTTCCGGTGCTCATGGCTGTCAGCCCTATCTTCCGCTGAAATCCAAGTCCCTTGAAGGCGGATGATCATTTCTTTTGCAACCTCGACCAGTCTCTCTCTCTCCCTCTCTGGAGCCCCACGTGTCAGCTAAACGAGGTCTGCTCCTGGCGCCCCACGTGACCTATGAAGGACTTCCCTTCACTTTTTCTTGGGGCCCCTGGCCTTAACTGACACATCCTGTTTCTTCACCCTGCACATAGATGAGTCCTGCCATTCCCTTCGGACACAGCTCAGGCACCTCTTGTGCCAGGCGCTTCTCTTGGTTGTTTGGCCTGCAGTGTTCTCAGTCTCTTGTGAGCTCGCATGGCCTTGGGCCTGGTGCATACATAGCCATTCTTCCCAGACAAATGTCAGTATGTTCCTTCCGCCGGGCGTCTGGCCCCTTGTGGTTGTGTCTCCCAAGGTTCCTGGCTCACCTCCCACAGGAGAAAGTAAAACTTGCCAGCAGTTGATTCAGCGAGCACCTGCAGGGGTTGCAGGATAAACAGTGAGGGTCCTTTCCCTGAAGGGAGTGGCAGGCAGGTGAACAGAGCCTGCTCCTGGCCTGATGTGGCCGGGGTTTGGGAGGAATGCCCCTGGTGGCTGGTCGGTAGCTCATTAGCGTGGCCCGCTGGGGAAGGATCATGGACCTCCTGCCTGGCCACCTGGCTGTTCTGTGGGAAGCTTAGCCTTGACTGTCGACCTTTTGGCCACCTGAGAGGACATCTGAGGAGGCTTCCCCCGGTGCTGCTGTGGGCAACCCAGCTCCTAACAGGCATGGAACAGCTAGGCTACCTGATGGGCCGAGCGGTCCAGGGCCTTGTTTGCCAGGTTTGGAGGCTCTACAGCTCTAAAACTCCACTGTAATAAGCCTGTGGGCAGTTGGCATTGGGTCATCTCTGTGGGTAAGGACCCAGAGCCCAAGACTTGTGTGGACTCAAAGTCCTTGGTTCTGTCCCTTGGGGGCAGCAGGCCCCAGGGCTCCCCTCACCTCCCCTCCCACCCCTCCTTTAGTGGGTAAGTGATGTGCTGGGCTGGGGAGGAGAGCACATGCCCTGGCTCTGCAGTAGCATGGTGAGAGCCTCAGCAGAGTCCTTGTGAGGTCGTGTGTGTGTGTGTGTGTGTGTGTGTGTGTGTGTGTGTGTGTGTGTGT